ATAGAATTTATAAGGAAAAGAAAAGAAATTGAAATTCCTGTTCACAAGCTAAAAACATAGCTCACTACTCGGTGGCTGCACATCTTTGTATTCTATTCTCACTTCAGTTACTCAATTTACTAACAGTATTGGTTTTACAGCTAAACAATCCTAAATGAAAGCTCACTCATCAATAAGAAAAGCAATGCAGCAGTGATATTTTTGAGTTCTCAATTTTATCTAACAGACAAAAATACTGCCTCCTGGATATTTCTTTTAAACCAAAAGAAATTCTGCAGGACAAAATTTCAATTCTGGTTGGCAAATTAAGAAAGCCTAATTTGAAGCCTAGCTTTTAATATACTTGCATTTTAAATTACCATTCAAATAAAGTCCACTTGCATGTCAGATAATGAAAAAAATATGCCCCTAAAACAATCTTCACAGTTCTCTGATCTTTTTCTTCTATGAAGTTTTCCCTACTCTATGTCTCATAGTACATATTTCTATCAATGCATTTCTACACTGTATTGTGGAATTCCTTGAAGACAGGGACCATATCTAGCAACACCACTGATGAAATAAATTCATACTGTGGAAAAAACATACAGTTTTTCTAACTTTTCAAAATATAAACAAAAACAAATGGCACTCTAATTCCTGTGATAGTGGGGTATACAAAAGAAAAAGCGTGGATAGATATCATCTTCCTTCTAAAACTACAACAAACTCCTCAATATTTTAAGGAAGAAAAAAAGTCCATTATGTTTTATTCATTCATTTTGAGAATTTAATAAGCTCATTTCGAAAATGTTTATTTCCAAGAAAGTCAAAGCAATGTGAATGAAAACAGAGCCAGATCTCTATGAAGAAAGTTTATCTAAACTCAAGCAATAAATTCCCTATTCTGCTACTTTAATGGCTTCACAACACAGAAACCAGAACTATTCCAACCTATTAAATACATATTTTTCCATTTTTAAAGCATACTAGTCTACTAACATTTTTAGAGTTAATCTGATGCATTATTTACCTTTATAAATTGATCCTTGATCATGTCAAACTTCTGTTTTTCATGCACAGCTCTGGCTGTATTTGTTCCATCAAAAGGTTCTGCAATGTTAAATGCACATGTAAAGAAAAAATTATTAAAATGAGAGCTTCAGTTTCTTAGATTCAGCTATACGAAATTGCAAATATGTGACAGTTTTTGACCTACTCTTTATTAGAGTTACGCATATAGAAAAGTTTAATATAGGTATGAACTGTCTAATAAAGTAGATAGAATTCAGGGGAAAGGATGACTGAAAATGAAAGTCATTAGCATAGGTATGTTAAGTTTAAATTATAAAAGTGGATGAAATTTCTGAAAAATTACAGAGGGTCAGGACCTACCCTTAGGGAAATAGAAATGTTAAAGAAAAAAGGTTATCAAAAAGAATCAAGCACTATATCCAAAAGAGGTGGTCAATGTCAAATATCACAGAGAGGTAAGCTTAAATTTAATTTTAATTTAAAAGCTGATTTGTTCAGCAGGAGAAGGGACAATAACCTTTGAAAGTGGAAGCTCAGTACTGTAGAAAATAGTAGACAGTGCAAGAAGATGTGAGTGGATACAGGAGAACAATAACCTGTATGAGAAATCTGGCACAGAAAGAAAAACAGAATAGCCAACAAAGAAGACAGGAAGAAAACAAAGGAACAGTTTTTATGCGTGTGTGTCTCCAACTTATCTATCTACCACATCTGCATCCCCATCTCACTCACCCTTCACTCACAAGATAAAAGAGTCCATATATAGAGACAGAGAGGAAGAAACCAGAAGAGGATAAGGAAACTGAAGATATAACAGTGAATAGAGGAGGATAATTAAAGGTATTAGGAGTGAGATGGGATGACTAAAATAATGCCAGTAGTAGGTAAAAATTACTAGAGATTAAGAATCTTGGCACTGAAAAGAGAAGAAAAAAAAATATTCAGAAGAGCCAATAGGATCAAATCAAGAGTATCTTTCAAGGATGAGAAGACCTATGTATGCCTTAAAACTGAAAGGGAGGGACTGGAGAGAAAAAGAATGAAGTTGCTGGAAAGAAGAAAGGTAACTGAGGGGAAAGACCTGGAAAAAGTGTGAAAGAAAAGGAAATCTGACGGAGAGGTTAGCTTTAGATCTGTCATATATTGTAAGCAGGCCCATAAGTTTAAAAATTCCTTTTGTTTATTTATGTTTTATTGCTGAGAAAGGCTATTTTTAATAGGAGTTTAATGTCACAATATTGTGGGTTTTTTCTTTAATAGAATAAAGGCCACATGCCACATTGTATCAGATTGCATCATTCATGGCACTTTACAATAGTGTTTAATATTCAAAAGAACACAAGTAACTTAAATAATACACATCCACTGTGCAATTTATTAGCAAACCAAACACCAAAGCAAGAGATGTAATTTCATATTCACAAACTCTTAAGGTGCTGCATACAATCCAAGATTAAAATATCCTAAATCTGATGTTTTCTACAAATCCTGATTCACTATTCTTTTTTAACCTCAAGATTTACAAAGGTCTTCAATTTGGCATCTATGAGAACAATTTTACCTCTTGAAGTCAGTTTCCCACTGACTCAAAGAAAATGTCTCAAAGATACATTCAACTACATGTCAATAAATTTTAGAGAAGAAAATATCTTCTGATCATTTAATTTTTAAAGTAAACTAGTTCTATTCATAAAAATTTAGCTTGTATTAAGTAACAATATTTTAAGTATGAAAGATTATAAAAGAACTCATTTTATTTCAATATAAGAATCATCATATAAAGATTTTCTTCCATCTCTAAGTCACAAAATTAAGCTACAATTTACCATAAGTATGGGGGATGCATAAAAACTGCTCAAATATTACCAACTAGAAAGGTTAAATGCCCAAATTTGTGTTTATTATTTCTCCAAACTAAAGAATTTTAAATAATTTTTAAAAATTTAAAAGACTTGTAAATCACTTTAGGACATAAATGTATTATTTTTAAATGAAATACAACCCTAAAATTACTCAAGTAATTTTCTCAGTACCATGATAATAACTGGATGGTAAATACACAGTAGTCACGGGAAAACTACCTTCTACACAAATGTATTTATTTCTCCATTCAATACCATCAGGCCTCGGAATGGCTTTGGCTTCACGAACTGAAATCATTTGACTATTCCAGCTATAAAAAAAAAATTTAATCACATTAACCATTTTCATAATTTCCCTTTTATTATTTTTATTATATTAGCAGTAAGGCCTATGCTGATTTTCATACGGCATACCAAAACCTGCCTCAACCTTCAGCACCACAATCCCCATTTCCCTCCTCTGTTTTTTTCTCCATAGTGCTCATCATCTAATAATTTGTTTATTTATAAACACTTACTATTTACTATGTTATTGTTTATTGTGTGTCTCCCCCAAGTAGAATGAAAGATGCTGGATATTTATCTATTTTTCTCACTGTTCACCTAGTTGTTTAGTACACACCAGGTGTTCGATATGTACTTACTAAATAAATGACGTAATGTGAAAAATAGTGAAAGGGAACAAAAAAATGTAACAACTATGCTCACTGTTAACACCCCAGTAAGAATTTATTTGTTAAGAGACAGGTAATCAGGCCGGGCCCGGTGGCTCACTCCTGTAATCCTAGCACTCTGGGAGGCTGAGGCAGGTGGACTGTTTGAGCTCAGGAGTTCGAAACCAGCCTGAGCAAGAGCGAGACCCCATCTCTACT